TTATGTCAAAATCCTGATCTGATGAGGTTAAATGGACCTCGGATTCAGATTCAGCGACCCAAAAAACATAAAGTCTACATAGTGAGACCCCCAGATCAGAACTTTTTTTTTTTTTGTGTGGCTGTGTTATCTTTGAGAGTAATAAAATTTTTCTCTGAAATTCAATTATTTGCAAAAATTTTAATAAAATTCTTGTTCAAAATTTCAATTATCTTTATAAATAATAAAATTCATGCTAGAAATTCAATTAATTTAAAATTTTTTGTTTAAATTTCCCATCAAAATTTTCATTATCTTCATAAATAATAAAATTCATCCTGGAAATTCAATTATTTTCAAAAGTTCTGATAAAATTATTTGCAAAATTCAATTATCTTTAAAAGTAAGAAAATTCTTCTAAAAATTTCAATTATCTTTATAAATATCAAAATTCTTCTGCAAAATTCAATTACTTTTTATAAATTTGTTTCCAATAATTCAATTATTTTCATAAGAAAATAATTAAATTTTTTTTTTATAAAGTCTTATAATATTAAATAATGATTTTATCACTTGGTCATCAATAATTATTATAAAACATGAAGACATCGATTGCTCCGAGTCGAAGACTCGGAGTGATCGATTTCTTCATGTTTTATAACAATTTTTTACAAGTTGTTTAATTTCAAAAAGATTTGAATTTAAATCTTTTGAAAAATTTTAATTCCTATGGAAAAATAATAATTAAATATTTATTTTAAAAAGAAGTTATTGATGTTTTCGAAAAATTTGAAAGAAATTTGTAAATAAATGTAACAGAACATTTTTTTGACTCAAACTTTTTACTTTAAATTTAAAAAAATTTTTTTAAATTTCAATCGCATTTTACTAAAAAAAAAAATCTCGAAAAAGTCGATTAGTCGCTTCTTTTTCACAAAAAAGTCGAAAAAAGTCACATTTCCTCAGAAAAGTCGAAAAAAGTCGAAAAAGTCGTACAATCCGAGCTCTGAAAAAAGTAAAAAAAAGTCATAACATCGAATACCTGACAAGGGGAAAACCCAATCTATCTTTATATTAATCCAATGAATTTCTTTCTTAATAGAAAAATCTTAAAAGGATTTTTAGGATTTTCTTTCTTTTCTCTTTTTTTTTTTTAAGGTGAAATTTCCCCCCATCCCTTTTTCCGACAGTCCCTTTAATTATATCGATTAAGGAGAAGACAGTTCTCGACAACATTTATTGAAGAGTTTGTTTCTGGAGTGAACTCTCTTTTCTCTCGCAGAGAGACGAGTTTACGGACATTGCAATTAACGGTTCTTATAACGGATGTGAACCAATTATAGGTTGAGTTGTTAACCGTGTGCGGTTGTCCAATTCTTCAGCAATGACCTTCACTTTAAAAGTTTAGGGTCAATAAAAAATTATTGAAGACTAAAGGAAAAAAAAACATAAAATTTTAAAACAAAATATTTTTATTATAGAAATTTTACTCAATTTTATCAAGTCCAAGTGTGTATGGAATCTTCATAAAATATTTCTCATTTTATCATCGAAAAGAAAATATTTCCAACTTATTAGAATAAAACCTGGCAATTTTATTTTGCAGTGTATATAAAAATGGAATGCGGCACGACAAATAAAATATAAAATTCTCGCCGAAAAAAAAAAATTTACGAATTCAGTTGTTTAGCATTTAAATTTTATTTCTTTTTTAAAGTACACATCATATAAATATACGATCCGGTTTTATTGTAAACCGGTTTCGTCAAATTTTTTTTGTTTCTTCCTTGAAAATTCATTCCTTATTCTTGAAGAATTCGAAATATTAATTTTGAATTACTGAAAAATGTTACAAATAAAAAAAAAAAAACTTGAAAGTTAGTGTTAACGTCGAGGTCAACGCTTAGCGTCGTAAACTGTTTATCCGGATTTTTCAGTGATAAAAATAACAGCTAAATATTTTTTTTCGATTTACTTTGTAGTGTTTCGTTTTTGCTTTAAATCTAAATTTTTTCGAAAACTGTTAATAATTTTGTTAAATTTTGTTAAACTTTGTTAATTAACAATTTTGTTAATTTTTTGTTCATTAATTAAAAGAATTTAATTAATCAATAAAAAAATTTCTAATTAGAAAGCTGATATTTTGTTATACAAAGTACAAACTGTTGTTAATTTAAAGAGGCGAACGCGATTAGGAAATCACTTTCGCACTTGCAATTTATATCTTTTCTTGCGGTTATTTGAAAGCTGAGTTGAATTCGAATGAAATTTATTGCATGAATTAATTTCGTACTACTTTACTTATTTCCGAGATTTGCATTTCATAATTAATTCACGTTATTTTTTAAATGCAGATTAATTGTTTACTGCTCCAAGAATTTTCATAATTAAAATTGATTTTACAATTATAAGGATGATGAATTCATTCTGACGAGTACCAACTTTTGGAGAACACTAAGTAATACATTTCGAAAATTATTAAAGTTTGACGATGAGAATGATGATTAATGGTATATTTTATCACTTGTTTTTTTTTTTGCGAAAAATTGCATAAGAAAAAGGCACCAATATACAAGAAAACTTAAAGAAACTGCGTACTTCTCGTATTTATTTTTTAAAAATAATTTAAAACTATTTTCTAACAGACATTAATTCGTAACACGTTTTTTGGGGGTCTCTACCCCCACTTTTCTCGAAATTCGGACGTGGTAGGCAATTATGGACCCTGGCATCGTATTCAGAGAACAAAAAAACATAAAAAACGACTACCATATCAAAAATAATTTAAAAAAATTTTTTTTTTGGTCTTTACCCCCTCTTTTTTCAAAATTCTCTATTTTTCTGGTCTTTTACATATGGGTCTTAAAGTGCACGTTGCAAGATTTAATTTTAGACCGTGTGGAAGTCACGTTAAAGAGAAAATATATCTTGAAATAAAAAAAACTCGTTTTTTGGGGTCTCTACCCCCACTTTTCTCAAAGTCTTGACGTGATAAGCAATTTTGAAACCCGGGATCGTAATCAGGGGACGAAAAAACATAGAAAAGGACTACCATATCGAAAATAGCGAAAAAAAATTTTTTTTGGTTCTTTACCCCCACTTTTTTCAAAATTCTCTATTTTTTGGTTTTGAACAAATGGATCTTAAAGTTCAAGTTCCAAGTTTTAAAAAGAAGAAAGAAGAAAGAAGAAAGTGAAGATAACCAGTAAAAACAATTTTTTTGAGGCTCTACCCCCACTTTTCTCTAATTCCCGACGCTCTAGGCAATTTTAAAACCCACTGTTCAGTGCACAAAAACAAATTGTCAACCACTCGGATATCAAACATAAAAATTGTCGCATTTTGCAGTTCTATGTAATTTGTCCATTCACTGTTATCGCAATTCTTTCACTGTCACGCTTACCCTAAAATTAATAAATAATTAATAGTCACAACAAAAAGTGCCTATTAAGAGTAGTAACACTAAGCACATAAACTGTATAACCATGTAAAATACGTGCACGTAAAGGCTATCAATTTACCAAGTTTACTTCGCAAACCATCGCAATTTGCAGACGTACCAATTCAAACCGCTGCTGCTCTCTCTCTCTCTCTCTCTTTCTCTCCCGTTGAGGCATGTTACTTTGCAAGGCACGTTTCTCTACTTTAATACATGTGTAGATTTGCACCAAAAATTGCGCAAATAATTCAAAAACCAAGATGGTTTCGTGAAGAATATTTCTTTCTCCTATAAGTTTTTTCATTAATAAAAAGAAGAAAAAAGAAAGCCACGTGATTAAATTTTAGGAAAAAAAAGTTAACAACAAACATTCGTTTAATGTCCAATTCAAAAAATTCGATTAGATAATAAGATTCGCTTCATTTGAAATGGAGATTTTTCTTTTAATGAGATAAAGAGACGGACTTTTTGAAAGAGAGTGACGTAATGCTGGAAAAATATATAGTCTCTTATACTTTACGAAAACTTTAAATTGAACAAGTTTTCGGAGAAATTGGCAGTAAAGGAAATGCTTTAAGGGAATTAGAAGGCGAAAGTATTTTTCCTGATTTTTGGCGATGTTTTTTTATTTTTAGAAACATGTTATCTTTGAAGATATGAAGATGATGCGAACATAAGTGTTTTCGAAGAAAACAAATTTTGAAGAGTTTGGTAAATTTAATAAAATTGGATCTGATAAAGTAAATGGACACTATAAGTAGCATACCATTTATTGTTGTTAGCATATCATTTATTGTTGTTAACATATCATTTATGGTAGGATTGTTGTTATCAGAAAATTTCAAGTACCACGTCATTCTAAATACACTGTATGTGAAGCACCTAAAGAAGTGACACGTAGTTGATCTGAAGAAGCAGACGCCACGTAATCTGTGAATACCATCAGAAACCACGTTTACTCTGAGCAAAACACTTGATTCAATATATAAACCGTTCGAATATTTGGATTCAATTAATTTACTTCGAAATAGAATTAGTTTCAAAAACTTCAAAAATCCGAGTTTCAATTTTACACCAAAAGATTAGAAGTACAATTTTGTTTTATCTAATCTTTTCGGTTTTTCTGCAGATATCAAATACAAAAAGCGAATCGCTTTTTGTCCCAATTTGATATCTGCAGAAAAACTGAGTTGTAAAATTAAAGTCGGATTTACTGTACAAATTGTACCTATTCAAAATTGGGATACCCCAAAATTGTATTAAGAATAGTTTTCAGAATATTCAGAAATTAAATAGATCATTAATGATGATAGTAGGATTCGTTTCGACTTATTGGTACAGAACCTAAATATTTTCAAAGTGAATAGTTTCATTGATTAAAAACTTTAATCCCATGAAGTGCTGAATCTTTCTGGTAGAAAGTTGAAGTATTTTCAAGCACATGGTTCGAGCAAAAGAAGCAGTTCAAATTCAATCGTTCCAAAAGCAGAAAATTGAGAAGTATTTTTTTCGTAATAGAAGAGAATTTCGAAGATAAGATCTCCAGGGGAAAATAATTTTTGTTCGAGAATTAATGACTGACCTTGAATCAAACTTGGTACCATCTTGGAGCGTTCCTGTATAGTGCATGGTCAGCTGATTTCCATTTTGTGATTTTCTATCACAAACTTCGGGTTTGTAAATTGTTTCCACTTTAAGGTCTGTGTGAGCTTGAACAAGACTTATGAAAACGCAACACCACGTCACAAGTGCAAAGCTTGTTGCACAAACTGAATGGAATGGAGACATTGTTATTTTTTTTTTTTTAATTTTTTATTGTAGTCTTTTTGAAACACACAACGGTGACGGTATGCCGGCAACGACTGAGGGATCCAGAGAACCCGATACACAAGTGAAGCTATCGTTGTGGGAGAAAGATATCATGAAGAGGGACAAGGACGGTTGATGGTATGCCACATTGCGCCGTCTCATTGGCCCCCACAGAGTGTGTATGTAGGTCTCTGACTTGACTTTACTATTCCCTCTCGGTCACACTTTTCTCTTCTCTTCTCTTCTCTTCTCTATATATATACCTACACCCGATTTGTTTGCGTGAAATTATTTCTCTCATTCTCACTCACACACCATTTTTAACTGAATGATGCGTCTTTCTATTTTCCAAAGTTTATCTTCTTCTCTCTTGTTTTCTGTTTTCGAAAATTCTTGAAGAAAAGACTCCGACTACATTTTTGACTATATCAAGAAAATTGGTTAAATCTTTCAGAAAATTATTTTTATTTAGTGATTTTTTAAAAGAAAATCGAACGGCAGGGATCATAGTTAGTTCCAATTTTTTCCTAAATCTTATTTTTACCCTTCTCCCCTTTTTTATTCCCTTAAATTATTAAAAATTCACTAAAACATCTAAAATCATACATTTTCTCCCCTTTTTCACTTATTTTTATGAAAGACTTATAAAAATAGTAATTTTGTGTAAGTTAGAAAAATTTTTAGTTATGCTTGAAGAAAAAAATCAAAAAAATCTACTCTCTTAATTTGAATCAGTTAAAAATCATGGTTTTGACTGAAAATCAATGACTGACTTTTTGCTTCTGAATCAGTTAAAATTGATTTTCAGTAAAACATAACTGAAAAATTAGTTAAAATTGAAAAAAAAAAATTACTTAAACATCAGTTATTTTTAACATTTTAACTGACAATCAGTTGTTTTTAACTAATATTACTACATATTTGAATAAGTGACTGACTTTTTGCTTCTTAATCAGTTATTTTTAACTTAAATTTAGAGACTACTTTCCGCAACCTTTGGAAAAATTAAAGTTTTCTGGTACTTAAAAATCTATTATTTCTCAGAATCTTTAAATTTAAAAATTTGTTGACAATTATAAAATATTGTAACAAATATAAAATAAGTTTGCTGGTGCTAATTCCAAAATAATTTTTACTAAATTCAAAGTATATTTTACCAAATTTTCAATATAAAATTAACTCTGGAAATAACGAATTTTCATTTAGCAAAATTTACTATTTTTGATGTTAATTTTTTTATATAAAAATTATTCAAATTTTCTTTGAACATTACAATTAGATATTAAAAATTATTTTTGAGTAAATTGAAGTAAATTTTTCTAATATTTCTAAAAAAATTGTCTTTGAAAATAGGAAAAGTAATTCTGGGAATAAGACTTTTTAATATATTCACATTTTTCTTAACTAAATCCATTTTTTTGGAAAAGAAAAAAAAACTTTATCAACATTTTTTAAAATAATTGAATGTTTTTGAAGAATTTTTAATAAAATTTTTAAGAATAATTACGTTTTTAGCGGATTTATTTTTGAATTATATTAAAAATAATTGCATTTTTAAGAAGAATTTAAAAAAAAATCTTTTTAAAGAAATGGTTTTTTCGAAAAATATTAGAAACATTCTTGAATTATTTGAATTAATGCATTTTTTTAAAAATAATTTTAATTTAAAATATTTAAAGTAATTGGATTTTATGAAAAATTTTTTTCAAGTTTATAAAATATATAATATGTGTTTATTTATAATTGTAATTAAACATTTGATTATGATTATTTATGAAAATAAATTAATTAAGTCTAAGAATTTTTTAATCGATTCAAGAAATCTGAATTCTTTGAACAAAGTTTATTAATTTTTTCAAAAATAATTGAATTTCTACGAAAAATATTATTATGCTTGAAAATAATTGAATTTTGTCTAAAGAATTTTATTATTTTTCAAAATAATTGAATGTTAATGAAAAATTTTATTAAACGTTTTGAAAATAATTGAATTTCTGTGAAGAATATGTTAATGAAGATTTCAAAAATAATTGAATTTCTACGCAGAATTTTAATCTTCATGAAAAAATTGAATTTTGACAAAGAATTTTATTATTCATGAAAATAATTGAATTTTTGCGAAGAATTTATTATTAAAAAAAAAAAATTGAATTGTTTTAGAGAATTTTATCGAAATTTTTGAAAACAATTGAATTCTTGCAAAGATTATTATTAAAATTTTAAAAAATAATTGAATTCCCAAGAAGAATTTTATTATTTATAAAAATAATTGAATTCTTGTAAAGAATTTTTTTAAAAATCTATTTAAATAATTGATTTTTTTCGAAAAATGTTAGAAAAATTGTTTTAAATAATTGAATTCCTGTGAAAATTTTTTTATTATGAAAATAATTGAATGTTTGCGAAGATTATTTAAAAAAAACATTGTTTTTAGGTTGAAAATGGTAAAAAAGGGATTTTTTTATGCAATTCAAATTTATTGTATTTACAAGTATTCTTATTGTTGAAAATTTGTGAAAATTGAATGAGAGGAGATTGTAAAGGGGCCACTTAGGAATTTTCTGACGCCCTCTCCATTCAAGAAGTGCGCATCTTCAAATTTCAAGCTGTTCCACGAACTCTGTATATGATGTATATGGAGTTGCAAAGAATTTTCTTTCACTTTTCCACCAATTTTGTTCCCCTTTGATATTTTTGGAAATTTTTCGTTGCATTGAAATGACAAGTGGAATTTTTTATTTATATAAATGCAATTTCCTCTGTTTCGTAACAGATTCTTTGTCCAACAGCATCTAAACTTCTTTCCAGAAAATCCAATAAAATTTCATTTTTTTCATTCGGCATCTTGGATCCGCCATTTTGAATTTTAAAAATTTGACCTCATATTCGTAATCAGCGACCCCGAAAACCCTCGAGTAACAATTTTCAAGGAAATTCAACAGAATTTAATTTTTTCATCCGCCATCTTGGATCCGCCATTTTGAATTTTGAAAATTTAACTTCATATTCATAATCAGCGACCCCGAAAACCCTCAAGTAATAATTTTCAAGGAGATTCGATAGAATTTAATTTTTTTTCATCCGCCATCTTGGATCCGCCATTTTGGATTTTAAAAACCCGATTTTAGATTCTATTAATAGTTATACATTCTACTCTATAATAAACCTGTCACTATTTGCTTCTCATCAATAGAAAATATTATTAAACAAAAAAAGTAGATTACTTTTTCATTTGAATAGCATTATTATTTAAGATTTCCATTCTCTTTTTATATTTATAGCAAAAAAAGTGTGTGTATTTACGCAGACGATGTTACTAAATTATGCAAAGCAATTTTCCACAATTTGTGCTCCCTGTTCACCCATTGTAATGTTCCTTTCAAAAATTTCGTCTTTCTTTTCATCATTAAAGCAGCACTGTGAATTGAAGAAAATTAATCCTCACTTTTTTTTTCTTTAATATCAATTCAAGAATTTCCTTTTTTTAAAAAATTTTTATTATTTTTATATTATTATATTATTATATTATTGTATTATTGTATTATTGTATTATTATATTATTTATTATTATTATTTTTTGTTTATCTACTTTATTGTTTTACATTATTTATCTACTTTTTTATTTTCAGTATATGAAACGAAAATAATTCACTTTTGTTTCGCATAGTCTCTCAATAAATTAAAATAGAGAAAAAAAATTTAATTTATGTGGAAAGATAATTATTACAGTATTAAAGGAATATTGAAGTATAATTTTGCTATAAAAGTTTACTGATAAATAGTTATTTCTGCTAATTTATAAATTAGTAAAATTTACTAATTCAAAAGCAAAAAATCACTAATTGAAATTAGTAAACATTTTTTAATTAATTTAGAGAGTATGGAACTTAATGATAATTACCTTCTTTTTTACGTCAAAAAAAATATATTTTTAGAAACTAAAAGAGATAAGATAAGAATTAGTTATTAAAACAATTAGGAAAATCACAATAGTATATATTTAGAAATATCTTTCAACTTTTTATCTGATTTACATTAAGGTATCTTTTGGGTGTTGGCGTTAAAATTTTTCAATCAGTTCTATAATACACATTGTATGAACAACTTAATAGTGAAAAAGTTTGGAGTTAGCAAAATAAAAGTTATATTTGGAAAGTGCAATATTTAACTTAGTAAATGAAAGATTATTATAAATTATTAAAGTAAAAGAAAGATTATTATTAATTATTAAAGTAAGTGAAAGATTATTATAAATTATTAAAGTAAGTGAAAGTTTATTATAAATTATTAAAGTAAATGAAACATTATTATAAATTATTAAAGTAAATGAAAGATTATAAGATATGGGGTCAAAGTTTGTTGAATAAATTAGCTGATTATTTAGTTAAATTCTGTTTTTTTAATAAATTGGCCTTTAACCTGTGTATAAGTATTATAAAGTATTATCACAGTCTAAACGAACGAAGATATAGTAATTAAATTAGATTCACAAATTGAAGTGATGTTTTTTTTATCATTATTTTAAAAATCGTAAATTTTATTTTTGAGTTGAGATATACGGAAATTAGGTTTGTTCAAATATTCATCGCATATTATGTGTGAAGAAAATCTATTTTAATTGTCAATATTAGTAATTAATTTTCCGAGATTGTGCTATACATATATTTAGTAATGAAGTTTGCGATTGTATTCTGAATCGTGAATCCTTTTTGATTAGGTGTACGTTAAACTGATAAGTATTGACCTCCACTTATCGGTTTATTTTTTAAATCAAATAAAGTTTTCGTATATTTTTTGAGAGAATGCTTTTTTTATTTATAATTTTTAAACTCGATAATTAATTTACAGCAATTAACGGAAATACCTTTACTTTTCTCCTTTTTCTCGTCTGTAAATAATTATTTATTACTTGATATTTCATAATAATTTTTTTTTTCCTTAAAGAAATACTCAAACAATTTTTAAATAGATATAAAAAATAGACTTAAATAGACTTAAAAAATGAAAAAAGACTGAAAAATGGACTTAAAAAATAGAGTGAAAAAAATAGACTGGAAAAATTACTTAAATACAAATTTTGTTCGTTTGGAAGAAAATTTTGAATAAACGTAGATAATAATTATTATTTCTTCTCAAATCGATAGAAACGAATTAAGTGATCAAGGTTAGGAAATTTGTAGAAGGAGAAAGATATCTTTCGAACAATTTATGTGAAATACTTTCACCTGACTCTCACAGGCATTATATGGCAATGAAACATTTGAGGATCCGGATCAAAGAACTTGCTTGCACAACATTTTCTTAAGTCCCCTGATACTCAACGTGTTTATCATTTTCTGAGTAAAGCAAATTTTTTTTTTATCGAGACAATATTCTCAAAATTTCTAAACATTTCATTATACAGACTGAAGAAAAAATACTATAGGAATCAATGATCGTAAAAAATTTTCTATTATTGAGAAAGTAAAAAAATGACACTTAGAAGCTTATATTGATATTTTTGACGTTAATTATACAAAATCGACTGTCGATTTTAAGAGAAATTTTAATTAAACTATTTGAATATTATTTGAAATAATTTTTATTAAACAAAATTTTGCATGAGAATTAAATTTTATATTCAATTTCTCAAATATCACACTGAAGAAAAGAGGTACAAAAGAAGCGAAGAATTTTAAATAAGTTTGTATTATTTTTATCTTAATTAAATTGTTTAATTATGTAAAACGAAAATCAATTTTCATTAATTATTTTAGATGCAATGAAGACTTAAGCTTCAGTTGAAAATATTATTATTTCAAATATTACAAATAGAACCCAGGACTCGAATCAGTGAAAAGTATTTAAAAATAAGGTCCGAGTCAAATAAGAGAACATTTTACCTAAAAATATAAATTAAATTTTTTTCATAACTATAAAACATGAAGATATTGATTATTTTCATCATTTCAATTCAAGTATTATTTTCCAAAATTTCTAACTAAAATTCTTTTTTAAATCAACAATTTTTAATGATTTTCGACAAAGTTCTCCTTTGAATTTTCAAATCCATTTGTTTACAATTCATTTTTTCGTGATTTTTTAAGAAAAAATTTGGTCCTCAAAGGGTTAAAAGTATGAAAAATTTAAATCTTCAAAGATTTTGATTGGAAACTTTTTCAAAATTCAATTATTTCTAAAAATTCACGCTATAATGCTTTTAATATTCAATTATAATTTAAAATTTTAACTGAAATTCATTTTTAAATCAATATTTATTAGTAAATTCTACGAGAATTCAATTATTTAAATACAAAAATAAATAATTTATTGAATACTTGAATTTTTCTTATAAAATTCAATTCAAATGAAAAATGTTGTCAACAAATTTTTAAATAATTGAATTATTTTAGAAGAACTTTAATAAAATTTTTAAGAATAATTACATTTTTCGCGGAATTCGATGAAAATTTTATTAAAAATAATTGAAATTCTGCGAAAAGATTTATTATTCGTGAAAATAATTGAATTCCTATGCCTAAGAAGAAATTTATTATTTTTGAACATAATCAAATTTTAGCGAAGAATTTTATTACTTTTGAAAATTCTACGAGAATTCAATTATTTAAATACAAAATTAAATAATTTATTAAATAATTAAATGCTTTTTAAAATTCGAGTCTCATAAAGAATTTTGTCAATAAATTTTTAAATAATTAAATTCTTTTGACGAATTTTAATAAAAGTTTTAAGAATAATTACATAAATTTCTCGAGAAATTTAATTAAAATTGTATTAAAAATAATTGAAATTCTGCAATGAGTTTTATTATTTATGGAAATAATTGAATAAATAATTATTAATAATAATGAATAATAATTATTAATAATTATTATTCAATAATAATTGAATAAATTTATAAACAATTTGTCAATAATTAAATTCCTGTAAAATTTTTAATATTTTATGGAAGAAATTAAATGTTTACGTAGAATTTTATTAAAATTTATTTAAATAATTCAATTCTTTTGAAAAATTTTATTAAAATAGTAGATATATTAAAAATCATTGAATTAAGGATAATTTTTGAAAATAATTGAAATTTTGCCAAGAATTTTATGAAAATTTTTGAAAATAATTTAATTTCAAAGAAGAATTTTATTATTTATAAAGATAATTGAAATTTTGAACAGAATTTTAAAAAAATTTTGAACATAATTGAATTTCTGCGAATAATTTTATTACATTTGAAAATAATTGAATTTCTGCAAAGAATAAATTTTAGTAAAATACCTCAAAATAATTGTATTTTTTTCGAACAATTTTATTAAAATATTTGAAAATAATTGAATTCCTGCGAAAAATTCTAATATTTTTGTAAATAATTGAATTCTTTAAAAGAATTTTAAAAAAAACCTTTTTTTTTAAAATAATTAATTCTTTTCGAAGAATTGAAATTATCAAGAATAATTATAATTTCGAGCAATTCCTGTAAAATTGTATCAAAAATAATTAAAATCCTTCGATGAATTTTATTGTTTATATTAAATTACTTGAATAGTTGCAAAGAATTTTATTTAAAATTTTCAAAAATAATTGAAATCCTGCGATGAATTTTATTATTTATGAAAATAATTGAATGATTGAGAAAAATTTTATTAAAAAATGTTTAAGAAGAATTGCATTTCTGTGAAGAGTTTCGTTTTTTTCGAAAATAATTGAATTCTTGCTTAGAATTTTATGAAAAATTTTTTTAAAAAATTGAATTTCTATGAAAAATGTTATTATTAGTGAAAGTAATTGAATTCTTAAAAAATTTACGGACCCTTACGGTATTTACGGACCTAGTTCGAGCCCTGCAAAACGTAAAATTTTTTGCTTTGTCATTTTTCTTAATTTTGTACTTTTCTTTACAAATGAAATTTTTTTTTTTTTGAAAAATCAGTTACAATAGGTAAAAATCTACAATAAATTGATATGTGTCAGTGGAAATGTGACTATAATGTTCATATAACAGAGGAGTGAAATTCAATGCAATTCCGCATCGAATTGTCTCGTTTCTCAAAGCAAACGTCCCCCTCTGACATGTAGAGTGTATACGTCAAATTCAAACCACGTATGTGTCTCCTATGAGACATTAAAAATGAATATTTTTTTCTTATTTTTTTTCAGAATTCATTGCCTTTGAAACATTGGACTCCTATACCCCACAATGCTTACTCCGTCGAGGGAAACAAACGCTGACTCCAAAATTCTTCAATCGTAAGTCAAATATTCATTTTTATATATTTTTTTTTCCTCTTCTCGAGAAGAGTTTAACTTTAGTAAATTGGAAAACAAAATTAATAATTATCTTCCTTCTTTTTTAAAATTTATTTTTTAACCACGCGTGATTAAAAAATAAAACAAAAGAGAAATTTGTATATAAAGTTTTTATATCAAAAAATTTTAAAACTTTAAAAGTTTTGAAATCATAAACTGGCGCTTGTGATTGAATCTGAAAAAATCGAAAAAAAATTAAGAAATAGAAATTTAAAAAGTTCATATACAGTTTAATTTAGTGATTATAATAATTACTTAATTAGACATTAAGAATACAGTTACAAACTTTAATTGACGTTTTCTAAAATCCTCATTCGTCTTTATATATTTGAAAATTAAACTTTTTTTTAATTGCTTTTAAGAGAAATCAAAGAGTAATTAATTTTAACAACAATTTCATTCAGTGAAATCGCGTGATTGTCACACAATTAATTATTATCATTTGTTAAAAAAAAAAAAAAAGAAAAAAGAAAAAAATTTCTCTTTAAATTTTTATCTATCAATATTTAGGAAACGACATTCGAGAGCAAATATTATGCGGGAAAACATAAAATTAATTGCGATTTTAATTAATTAAACGGTTTAATTCGAATTTATTATTGTTTAATTTTAATTATTTAGTTCTTTAATTAATTTAGTGTCAATTTTCGTTTATTTGTTCAAATTTTTCGTTTTGCGAATAAACAAGTTTACAAATTCGCAGAAATTCAATTACGTTCAAAATTTTTTAAAAATTATCGTCAAAATTTCAATTATCTTTAGAAATTTAATTATTTTCAAAAATTTTTATAAAAATCCAAGCAAAAATTTAATTATTTTTAAAAATTTTCCAAAAGAATTCAATTATTTATAAGAAAATTAATTAAACTCTACGCAAACGTTTAATTATTTTCATAAAATAATAAAAATTTCACCCAGGTATTCAATTATTTACAAATTTTTTATAATTTTCTTCGTAATAATAAAATTCAATGATTATTTTCATAAATAATAAAATTTTTACTGGGTTTCAATAACTATTTTCGCAAAATAATAAAATTCTTTCTAGGAATTCAATTATTTTCATAAATAATAAAACGCATTGCAGAATTTCAATTATTTTTAATGCAATTTTAATTGAATTATTATTAAAATTCGTCAAAAGGAATTCAGTTATTTAAAAATTTGTTGATAAAATTCTTTATGAGAATTTAATTTTAAGAAACATTCAAATATTTATTTTTGTATTAAAATAATTGAATTCTAGTAAAATTTTCTAAGAAAAATTTGATTTAAAAATGAATTTCTGTTAAAATTTTAGATAATAATTGAATATTAAAAGCAATATAGCGAAAATTTATAGAAATAATTGAATTTTGAAATTAATTTTTTTGAAAAAGTTTAATAAATGAATCATCAATAAAGAAAACATTTAAAGTTAGATTATGATTTTTTTAAAAAATAAATTTCGATTTGTAGTAACAATTATATTTAAAGCAAAAAGAAAATGTCCTGTGTTATTTATAAAAATTGTCTATAACATTGTTAAAAAAATTGTTTTATAATTTTTTTATAAACGTTTGTACCTTAAATATTCATTCGAAATACTATAAAAAAAATTAAATTTACCCTCAAGGTAAAATTATTGATGTTAATTTTTTTTCAAAATGCCCAAAATATTTTTTTGTATCCAATCAAGATGAGCGTAAACTTTTGTATAAACATCGGGATAGCCTTTAGCACATGGTTTTCCATACGAGACGATTCCAATTTGAGTGCCATTCGAGGAAAGTGGTCCTCCAGAATCTCCCTTTAGATGAATTTATAAAATTTAAATATTTTGATTTATAAATACATATTATACACTGAGAAAACAATATATATATATTTGAATCAAACATAATTATTTTTATTATACAGTCTAAAATTATTTCTGAATTAAACATAATAATTTTGATCCAGTACATAATAATTTTGATTCAATACATAATAATTTCGATTCAATACATAAGAAGTTTGATCCAATAAAAAATTACGTTTAATTCAATTAAATAAATTATTAATTATAAAATATATTTAATTCAGACATATTTTTTTGGTTAGCTATACTTATGTTTGAATTAAGAATTTTTTTTCTCAGTCATGTATATAATTATGATGATAGTTAATAATTAGCAAAACTTACATTACAAGCTCCCTTTCCTCCATATGTTAATGTACAAATTTGTGTTTTCTCAATATTTTGACTAAAATATTTCTGACATTTATCAGACGAAATAACGCTCAATTCAATTTCTTGTAAAATATTTGCAACTGGCCGATTACTCTAAAAATAAAATTTAAATTTTGTTCAGTAATATAAAGTATAAATTATTCATTTTTGAATTATTTATTCCTGGTAACGAAATTTCTCATAAAAATATCAAATAAATTGTAATATTCAAGTTTTTCTTTTATCCTAAATCAAATACTTATTAATAATAAATGTATTTAATTTTACCTTGAGACACATTTAAACTATAAGGATATAGATTTTCAAAGCGTTTCTTCTATTTTAAAACAAGTTTCTTCACAATTAATAAAACACAGATTCTAACTAAATTTGTAACAAATGATATTAAATTGAGTTGAAACACGACAGTAATCCTTTATTTGATTATTAATTAAAGTTGAACAAGTTAAAAATAGAGAGTATTTAATAATTGATATAGTAAAATTTTGATAAGCATTAAAAATACCGAAACTATTGTTCATTAAATATTAAACAATAAAGAGTAAAGATTTTTATTTTATTTTATTTTTTTTAATATTAAACAATATAGAATGTTTCAATACTCACAGCTAGTTGACCCCAACCAGTAAGTACGGCATGTCCATTGTAATATTCTACATCAACATTAGGCAAAGCTATCGGTTTTATTGAATCAGTGAATTTAATGTCAACCCTCAATCGAATTAGTGCTATATCATTTATCTTCTTTTTCGTGTCAAAATCTTTATGAACGATGAATTCATCAACAAGATATTTATTACCAATTTCGGTTAAATTACTAACACCAGCCACTATCACGTGACCTTTTATTTTTCGTCTAAAATTATTGAGAAATATTTTTAACTTTTTATAAATTATGTCTTTTTCTTAGATATATTTTATACTTTCAGGAATCACAGTCTCCACTATTTTAAATTTTCACCACCGATTTAATTTATTTTGTCAATGTTCATCCATTTTACTTATTTTGTAAAGTTTTTCAAATATTTTTAATAAGAAAAATAAATTTTATATTCAAAAAAATTATCGAATTAATAGAAATTTTGTGAAATTCAACTGAAAATAATTAAATTTGTTAATGAATTTCATTAAAAACTTTTTTACAAATCGAATTTTCAAAGTATTTTAATTTAATAATTGATAAATAATTGAATTTTATAGAAAGTCACATTATAATGTTTTTATGCTTCTTAGTGCGAGTATTAATAATTAAAATTTTTATTAGTTAATTTAAAAAAGATACACACTTAAATTTTTTTAATAAAATTGAATTTTCGCAAAGTTTTTTTGAAAATTCTGAAAATAAGATTTTTAAAATTTTTCAATTCTATTGTTTCAAGATAATTGAATTTTTATAAACAAATAATTGAAAATTTTTGAAATAATTGAAATTTCTTTACATTCTATTAAAAATAATATAATTTTATTTTTTTTAATTTCTTCGCAATATATTTAATTATTTTCATAAATACTAAATAGTAAAACTCATTGCAGAATTTCAATTACTTTTAATCCAATTTTAATCAAATTCCTCGAAAAATGTAATTATTCTTAAAAATTTTGTTAAAATTCATCGAAAGAATTCATTTATTTCTAGAAACTGTAAAAAAAAATCTTCTCAAGAATTCAATTATTTCCATAAATAGCAAAATTGTTGAGAATTACTAAATTCTTTTGAATATTGTTTTTTTAAAAAATTCTTTAAAAGAATTAAATTATTTTAATAAATTTACAGAAAATTCTAAAAAGACAATTTAATTATTTTCAGAAGTATTAAAATTCTTCGTAGAAATTCAATTATGTTTAAAAATTTTTTTAAATTCTCCTTAAAATTTCAATTATTTTTATAAATGATTAAATTGTTCTCCACAATTCAATTATTTTCGAAAATTTTAATAAAATTCTACGCAAACATTTAATTGATTTTATAAATGATAACATTCTTTGGAAGGATTCAATTACTTTTATAAATAGTAAAATTCTTTTCAGACATTCAATTAGGAATAAATTTTAATAAAATTGAATTAATCAAATTTTTAATTATAATTATAAACAGACAAGATTATTTTAAAAAATTGAAATAATTCTTTGTTTAATTCAATTATTTTCCAAATTTTTAATTAAAATTATTATAAAAAACATTATTTTGAAATAATTTTAAAAAACTCGTCAAAAGAATTTAATTATTCATAGAAACTCTAATAAAGAATTTGAAAGCCATTTGTAGATTTATTTATGTACGAAATCAATTAAAAATTTAATTAAAATTCGTCTAATGAATTTTATTATTTAAAAATTTGTTGAAACAATTTTTTATGAGAATTTAATTTTAACAAATATTAAATTAATAAATAATTTAGTTTTGTAATTAAATAATTGAATTTTTGTAGAATTTACTAATAAAAATTGTTTTAAAAATGAATTTCAATTAAAATTGTTGATTATTATTATTAAATATTAAAAACATAGAAAATAAAATAAAAAAAATAAATAAATAAATATTTTTTTATTATTATTAAATATTAAAAACATTATAACGTGGATTTTTAGAAATAATTGAATTTTGAATAGGTTTTAAATTAAATTTTTTTTTTATCATTGAAATTCTTAATTTTTCATATTTTTAACAAACAATTCTGTAGAATTAATTCTTTTGAAAAAGTTTAATTGAATTTTTTTTTTAAATTATTTCAAACTTTTATTTTCTAATTTATATTCAATTGAAGAATTTCCGAATAATGAATTTATAGAAGAATTTTTGGTAAAAACACTGGAAAAAAATTTAATTTTGAAGAAGTTAAAAATTATTGCAGAAATTCAATAATTCTTTTTAAAAGTAATAAAATTCTTCTTCAGGATTTAATTATTTTTACTATAAATATAATAATAAAACTCAGCACAGAATTTCAATTATTTTTAATACAATTTTAATTGAATTCCTCGAAAAAAGTAATTATTTTCATGCAAGTTGTAATAAAATTCGACAAAAGAATTCAATTATTTAAAAATTTTTTGATAAAATTCTTTATGAGAATTCAATTTTGAGAAACATTCAATTTTTCAATAAATTATTTACTCTTGTATTTGAATAATGGAATTCTCGTAGAATTTTCTAAGAAAAATTGATTTAAAATTTAAAAATGAATTTTCTAATATGCATTTATGCATTTAATTGAAGAATTTAGGAATAATTGAAATTTTGTGAAATTAAATATTGTAAAAAAATGGATTTGAAATTTACCAAAGAACTTTTTTGAAAATTATTAAAAACAATTGATCTAAAGTAGAATTTTAGTTGAAAACTTTTAAAAATAGTAATTGAATTGGACTGGTTATATTTTTGTCAGTTTGGTCCGTGAATGGTCCGTAATTTTTCATTTTTGGTTCGTAAAGTCCGTATTTTTGAATAGTTTCACTGACTTCGAGTCCTGATTAGAGAGTAGATTTTATAAAATTAATCAAGACATAAAAATGTATATTTTCATTTTACTTTTAGTAAAAATTTACTTTCTATAAAATCTACTCATACAAGAGGCAAATATGTATTAAAATTTAAAATAAGACGAATTCGCGGTTAAATGAAGATTCTTTAGTATTTTTAGAAAATAATTTACTAATTTAAATTTTAAAGGAAAAAGAAACTGTGATCCCGAAAGTTTGATTATTAAATTGTGAAATATTGTTCTACTCTTACCCATAAATGCAGTGAGCTGCTGTTAGGATATACCGTTCATTAAGAATACTACCGCCACCAACAAAAGATCCAAAGTAGTCAATATGAACCTGATATGGATATTTCCCTTTCGGTACATCGGATCCACCAACCACTCGGGCAATTGGTGAAGCTGTATTTTAATTTTTAATTTAATAAATCTTTTTTTATTTATTAACATATTAAAATTTTTTATAGCATTTATGAAACATTTTATAGGAAAAATAACATTTTATCAAGTTTGAAAGAATAACTTTTAGTTCTTGTATTCGAGAGGTTCTTATCTCACATAGAAGAGAATGAAAATAAACCGTTAATGAATAACTACGATATTACTAATTTTATAAACATGGTTTTAAATTTCACGTTTTTTTTTTTAAATTAAACTCCGGATTTCCCAGGTAGTAAATAATTACTCACCACAACTGAATGTAAAAACACTGAAAATTATTACAACTATTAACCGCATCATGTTTGTTCATAAACTGTGAAAAGCATTCAGAGTTACATGGTATTCATATTCTTTGCCTATCTTGATCGTAAACCACATGAATGTATTCTTTTCGGAAAATTATATTCTTATCTCTTGAATGTAAGTAGAATAATAAAAATCGTCATTTCCTTTATTATATTAATCATTATATGAATGCAATTTTATTACAGATTTATTGCTCTTTATATAAAGGGAGTCAAGAGAAGAATTTGAATATGTTTTTCCATATGTGTGAGAAAGGTATTTTTTTTTCTATATTTCGGGAAAATTGTTTCCTATTTTTCTAAGTTTGAGATTTTGTTAGTTTTTTAATTTTAATTTTTTTAGTTTCTTGTCAATGAAATTGATTTGGCAATCGAGAAATAATTTCTAAGAAATTGATTTTCCATTAATAGCTCTCTTTCTCTCTTCGAATATGTCGTATTTTTTAATGACAGGAGAACGCTTATCTTGACCTAGAATCATTTCGACACCAGTAACATTTATTGTCAGTAATGTGATTAAAAAGAAAGACCATTACTTTTTTCCTGATTGGACACGACATAAATTTTGATACGTCAAAGTCTGTTCACATCTTCCCTAATATTTAGGTTTTAAATTTAATTTAAATTTAATTTAATGGAAAATTTAGTTTTTTGTAAAATGTCAGAACTAATTTGGACTAACAAGTATCTTCAATTAATAGCAAAGAATAAGAATTCTTATAAAAAGTTCCCAAAAGAATTGAATAATTTAAAAAAAAATGTTTATAAAATTCTTCTCAAACATTCAATTATTTACATAAATAAAAAAAATTTCTATTTAAAACAGAATTAATAATAAAATTCTTCTCAGGAATTCAATTATTTTTAAAAATTTTTATAATAAACGTTGCAAGAATTCAATTATTTTCAAAAGTAATAAAATTCTTCAGAAAAAATCAATTCCGTTCAAAAATTTTTTTTAAATTCTCGTCAAATTTACAATTATTTTTGTAAATAATAAAATTCTTTTCCAAAATTCAATTACTTTCAAAAATATTAATAAATATTAAATTCTTACGCCAGAATTTGATAATTTATTAATTTTCAATACAATTTTTATTAAATTCCTGGAAAGAATTATTATTTATGAATATAATTATTATATTCATAAATAATAACATTTTTCACAAGAATTCAATTCTTTTTTCTTTATTTTTAATAAAATTCTTCGAAACAATTCAATTACTTTACGAAATATTAATAACATTTTTCAGAATAATTAAATTAATTTTTATACAAATGTAATTTTAAAATCCTTAAAAGAATTTAATTATTCTCCCAAATTTTAATAAAATTCTCCGCTACAATTCTAATTATTTTTGAAAAAATTAACAAATTTTTTAGGCTAGAATTCAATGATATTCATAAATAATAATTTGAATATTTGAATAATAATTTGAATAATTGAATTATTTTCAAAATTTTAAAAATAAAATTCAATTGATTATATTTCAATTATTTTCAAAATTATTCCATGAATTTGATTATTTTCTTAAATAGTAAAATTCTTCGCGAGAATACAATTATTTTAAATACAATTTTAAAAAATTTTCACGAAAGAATTCAATTAGTTTAATATAAATTTTTTAAAAATTCTATAGAAGAATTGAATAATTTTCAATAATTTCAAATTTCAAATAATTATAATAACATTTCTCGAAAAAATTCAATTCCTTTTTCAATTTTAATAAATTCTTCGCAAGAATTCAATTATTTTCATAAATAATAAAATTCTTTAGATGAATTCAATTATTTTAAATATAATTTTTATAAAATTCTTCGCAGGAATTTAATTATTTTCATAAAAAATAATAAAATTCTTTAAATGAATTCAATTATCAAAAATTTTTATAAATTTCTTTATAATAATTGAATTGTTTTGAATATAATTTTAATACAATTTTTTGAAAGAATTCAATTATTTTCATAAATAATATATAATTTTCAAAGAAATTCAATTATTTAAAACACAATTTTCATAAAATTTTTTGATAAACATAATTTCTTTAAAAAGATTTTTGAAAAATTCTTCGCAAGAATTCAATTAATTTTATAAATAATAAAATTCTTCTCAGGAATTCTATTATTTTTTTTACGTTTTAATAGTAATCGTTGCAATAATTAAATTATTTTTATAAATAATAAAATTCTTAGCAGGATTTCAATTATTTTTAATATAATTTTAAATTAATTCCGCTAAAAATGGAATTATTTTTAAAACTTTGAATAATATGCTTTCAAAAAATTCAATTATTTTTAAAAAATTTGAAATAATTTGTTTCTTAGAGTGTAATAATTATTTTCAATTAATTTTTAATTACATTTCTTGAATAAGTTTAATTATTATTAAAAATGTTTTTTAAAATTCTTCGTAGGAAATCAATTATTTTAAAAAATTTGGATAAAGTTCTTTATTAGAATTCAAATTTAAGAAATATTCAATTTTTCAGATAAATTATTTATTATTTAAATAATTGAATTCTCGTAGAACTTTCTAATAAGAATTGATTTAGAATTAAATAAAATAAAAAGATTAAAGTTTTGAATAGTTTTATTTATAAATTTCAAGAAAAAAATGATTGAATTTTGAAAGAACTTTTGTAATTTTTAGAAATAGTTAAATTTCAAAAATGCGTTACATTGAAATCATTTGAAATATTTTAATACCTGTAGACAAAATAAATCTTAGGTATTTAAATATTTTATTGAAAAATTATTCCATTTTTGAATGTAATTAAGAAATTATAAAAAAATTGAATCGTCAAGTTTAATTTTTCGATAGCTCCTTTTTGACTATACTTTTTTCTGTCTTTAAGCTACTTTTTGCTACTTTTTTTAAAATTAATTATCGAGTACGAAGGCTAATGTCTGTTTTCAAAATCAGTTCAAGTTGATACATAATCAAACTCATCCTGTTGGTGACAATAGAGGACTTAACTATATATTTCTTCATTTGTTAGAAATTAGTGAAGCATTTCAATGCAGCAGAGTATCAATAGCTCAAACTATGTACCTAATTTTAGTTTTTCTCTAAAACTGCGCGATGAAACATTCAAATTTTCAAACGATTGTATCAGTGTAGAAAAAATCTTCCAAAAAATGTCAATTAACGAAAATTCATCAATAGTTTACCATAGTGAGGAGAATATTTATTCAATACCAATGAATCCTGTGAAAATATTTTCATCTTCCTTGACGAATCATCAAATTGACAGTGCCATCGCAACTTTTATTGGCAGCAAAGTCAAGAAAAAATCAGATGATTCCATTATTCTCGAGCCTCCGAAAATCACTTTCTTGGAAACTAGCAAGTACAACAATTTTTTTTCGAATTACCATAAAATTTCATGTTAAAATTAAATAATTTCTTTTTTAAAAATTTCACTTTGAGCCAAACGTTGACTCAAAGGTTAAATGCAAACGTTAAACTCAAACTTTAACGTTTGACGCTTGACGCTTGACTCGAACGTTAAACCCAAACTTTGACGTTTGACGCTTGACTCAAAAGTTAACTTTAATTTTTAATTATTTGACGACTGAGTGATAGAATCATTATCATATTCTTTTCAAAAAATTTTGAAAAATTTTTTTTAAAAAAAGGTAGAATAACTTTTGTAGAATATATTTGGTTTATTTTTGTATAAAATTTGAAAAGAGGAACTACAGGTGCGAATGCGGTTTCATTTGAAAGTCGCAAATTTCTTTGTTGAAGGTTTACGGGAAAACTGTTTCTTGAAGAACATGTTACACTTGACGACACGTATCACGTTTTTAGTGTCGAAACTCTGTCAGAGTTCCGAATAACGTAACAAGTGCTACGTGAATGACATATACAATGTTAGCAAAGAAAAATAAAATTGAATAATAGAATAAACTATTTCCACAACGTATATATTGTATGTATAAAAGGAAACATATAAAATGGCAACACCGCGCAAGGTGTAAAATAAGGGAAAAAAACAACAATCTGTTGTGTATGTATGTAAATTATCAAAGATATATTTTTTTTCATTAAATTCTTTACTCAAAATAAGTTTATCTGTACAACTTCTGGAATTTTTATTTTTCATATTTTTCTTTAAATATTTTTCTAGATTAAACTATTCTTTAAACGTGTAAAATCTAAAAAAAAAAAATGTTAGACCTGATTGTTGAATTTATTTTTTAAAGAGATTAGCTTCAGATCGGTAGGATTATAGACGCACATCTGGTTGAATTTTGAAAATGTATTTTTTTCTTGTATTATCTTGTATTAAAATTTAAAATTTGCTATTTACATATTTGTGCGAATAGGATTCAAACTTTAGTTAAGAGACTTTAACTAGAGGCTTTACGATAAATCCGCCTTGAGTTTGCTCTCTTTTCCTGTTCAGGTGGAATTATTATGGGTGTTACATTATTAATAAGGAAATATATTTACAAGATTTCTATTTATATTTTAACAATGCCAAGGAAAAAAATTTATTCCATTTTACTTTGAGTAAATCTTAGCTAAAAAAAATTAAAATTTTAGAAAGACTGCTTCACTATTAGGATATTCGGAGATGATCGGAATATCCTTTTCAAGTTGTCTTTCAATTTTCGGCAAATCGACTGGAAAGTTCGGGAAAAAATTTC